TGGCCGCCAGCTCCAGGCTGATACGACATACCAAAAGCCATGGCAGGTCACAGCCCCGAGGCTCTCCTGTTGCAGGATCTGGGCGTGGGCCATGGCTCCCCCATCTTTGGAAAGAGGAATGGGAGGGACAGTGGCCCCCAGCCAGCCATATGGAGTCCTGAAGGAGCAACTGAGCTGGCCCTGATGGGGGATGGGAGGTTAGTCTGGATCTTGGCTCTTTCTTTTCTTTTCTTTTCTTTTTTTTTTTTTTTTGAGTTGGAGCCTCACTCTATTGCCCAGACTGGAGTGCAGTGGTTGCTCCCGTCCACTGCAGCCTCGACCTGCTGGGCTCCGGCGATCCTTCCGCCTCAGCCTTCCAAGTAGCTGGAACTACAGGTGTGCGCTATCACGCCTGGCTAATTATTTATTTATTTATTGTAGAGATGAGGGCTCGCCAAGTTGCCCAGGCGAGTCTCGAACTTGCGGGTTCAGGCAATCTACTCACCTCGGCCTCCCAAAGCATGGGATTACAGGCTGAGCCACTGAGCCCGGCCGGCTCTTTCTTTTTTGAGTTGGGGTCTCACTTTGTCGCCCAGGCTGGAGTGCAGCGGCAAGATCATGGCTCCTGGCAGCCTCTACCTCCGGGGCTCAGGCAATCCTTCCATCTCAGCCTCCCAAGTAGCTGGGACTACAGGTGTGTGCCACCATGCCCGATTTATTTTCTGTTTTTTTGGTGTGTGTCTGCAGAGATGAGGTCTGGCTATGTTGCCCAGGCTGGTCTTGAACTCCTGGGCTCAAGCAATCCTCCCACCTCAGCCTTCCAAAGTGCTAGGATTGCAGGTGTGAGTCACCGTGCCTAGTGGATATCTTAACATGTAACTGGGCTTGTATCTGCTCAGGCAGGTGGTTGGCTCTGCCCTCACCGCCTGGGGTGAGGGAACACAAGTGGGTAGGCGGAGGTGGGGGAGTACAGCCTGAGCCCCTTAGAGGGAGGCTTCAGGGGTCCAGGCACAATGTCTGGAAGAAAGAGAAACACTGAGAGGATTTTCCTCAGACAAGAAGGAGATTCTTCTGGGCAAAAAGAACCCAGGGGTGGGAGAGAGACAGATGAACAGAAAAGAGAGAGGGTCAGAGACAGGAACAGAGAGAGAAGGAGGGACCTGCCCTTCTCTCCCAAGGCTCCAGCTAAACATGGTGGCACAATTTTTTTTTTTTTGAGTTGGAGTCTCACTATCGCCCAGACTGGAGGGCAGTGGCCGCTCCCGGCCACCACAGCCTCGACCTGCTGGGTTCCGGCGATCCTTCCGCCTCAGCCTTCCAAGTAGCTGAAACTACAGGCGCGCGTTACCACACCCGGCTCATTTTGATTTATTGTAGAGATGAGGTCTCACCAAGTTGCCCGGGTGGGTCTTGAACCTGCGAGCTCAGGCAATCCACTCACCTCAGCTTCCCAAGGCGCGGGATTACAGGCTGAGCCACCGAGCCCAGCTTCAATTTTTTTTTTATCTTACTGTGTCGCCCAGACTGGAGTGCGGTGGCACACCCCCGGCCACTGCAGCCTCGACCTGCTGGGCTCCAGCAATCCTTCCACCTCAGCCTTCAAAGTAGCCGGAACTACAGGCACGCACTACCACGCCCGGCTAGGTGGCACAATTTTTAAGGATCTGAAGAATGACTGAGGTTAATCCTTCTGTTTGGAATGTGAACTGAGGCCAGGCATGGTGGCTCACACCTGTAATCCCAGCACTATGAGAGGCCAAGGCTTGAGCCCAGGAGTGGGAGACCAGGCTGAGCAACACAGCGAGACCTCTTCTCTACAAAAACAAAAAAATTAACCAGGTGTGGTGTCACATGCTTGTAGTCCCAGCTACTCAAGAGGCTGAGGAGGGAGGATAGCCTGAACCCAGGAGGTCAAGGCTGCAGTGAGCCATGATCGGACCACTGCACTCCAGCCTGGGTGACAAGACTCTGACTGAACTGAGCATCTGAAAAGGAAGTGTGTTATGTTCTCCTGAGACTTGTGTCTGCTAAAGGGTTGCTGTCTCACCACTCTTACACTTCCTGCCCCCATGCCCTCTGCTGAAGCGTCCTTAACCCTGAGCCTGGTGCAGCTGTGGGGCTCTGGGAGGGGCCTGGCACCCTGCCTGAGGACAGGAGAGGGAGGGGCTCTGAGATTCAAGGAGGACGGCCTTGAGGGAACCGAAGGGCACCTGGGGTATGTATGACAACCAAGATGCAGGCACATACCTGGGAGGCTTGAAGCCCTCAGGCAGGGAATCCAGTAGGCACCATAGAGGCTGAATTTCCTGGGCCCATACAGAGAAGTTCTGCACAGTGTGGACTAGCTCAGAAGGCCTGTGTTGACCAAACCCTGCACATTCCCAAGAGAGGACGGTCCCTAACTTACTCCTGGGAGGGGTGACCTTATGCCTTTGGAATGTCTTCCTGGTAAGAGTGTCTTTGGACATGTTGTATATGTATAGTTCATTGTAACAATGTGACTTGTTGGGGCCCTGGGCCATGTGGGATCAGCTCCACACTGCAGGAGCTGGGGTCTGAATGGCTGAGGTCAGCCAGGCCTGCCTGACCACTCCCAGCAAACTCTGGACTCTCAGGCTTGAGTGAGCTTCCCTGGCTGGCAGCACACCGTGTGTGTTGCCACGTGTCACAGGGAGAGTTAAGCGCTGTTGCTGTGGCTCCCCCGGGAAGGGACAACTGCAAGCTGGAGCCTAGTGTCCCTTGGGCCCTGCCCCATGAGCCTTTTTCCTTTGAGTTGGGGTCTCACTCTGGCTCAGGCAGGCGTCAGTGGTGCGATTGTGACAATCACAGCTCACAGCAGCCTTCACCTCCTGGGTGCAGGCAACCCTCTGGCCTCAGCCTCCTGAGCAGCTGGGACTACAGGCATGTGCCACCATGTTTTGCTCATTTAAAAAATATTTTTTGCAGCCGGGCGTGGTAGCGCATGCCTGTAATTCCGGCTACTTGGAAGGCTGAGGTGGAAGGATCGCCGGAGCCCAGCAGGTCGAGGCTGTGGTGGCCGGAAGCGGTCACTGCACTCCAGTCTGGGCGACAGAGTGAGACTCCAACTCAAGAAAAAAAAATTTTTTTTGTAGAGACAGGGTTTCGCTATGTTGCCCAGGCTGGTCTCAAACTCCTGGGCTCAAGCAATCCTCCTACTTCGGCCTCCCAGAGTAATGGGATGGCAGACAGGAGCTGCCACCCCTGGACTCCTTGTGGCATCTTCACGATTCTCGGCACTCACACTTGCCACCCACCCTCCTGCCCCCGCCTTCCTTCCACTTCCTTGATTCGGCCACGTTGGCTTTGGCTTTCCCTCATCTTCCCTCAAGACTTTGGAAGGGACGTGTGTCCTGAGGCCCAGCTTCCATCCCCTGCCTCCAGTGGTGTTGGCTGGGCCACCCCTTCCCAAGCCTGCTGACCATCCCCCGGCTCCTCTCTCTACTCCCTTCTCCAGCCCCATCTCCTTGGCTGACCAGGCTCTTCTCTCTGCCCTGCTGTCCCATGGGATGCCAAGTCATGTCATGCCTGCTCCAGGCCCCCAAACCACTCCAGGCAAGGGGCCCTGACCCCGCGGCCAATGCCGCCCTGGTCAAAGTGACCCTGATGACCGGTCACTGGTGAGCCTTGTCGTCCTTGGCTTCCGGGCTGCACGTGACACAGCTGGCCCCTTTCCTCCTAAAGCCGTCTTCCCATGTGGCCTCAGAGCCCCACTGCCTGGGTCTCCACTCACCGCCCCAGTGGCCCCTTCTCTGACCCTCCCACATGGTTGGAGAATGAGCTCTGGGCTCAGTCTTTGGGGATCTCTTAGTTTTTTTGTTTGTTTGTTTTTGAGTTGGAGTCTCACTCGGTCACCCAGACTGGAGTGCAGTGGTCGCTCCCAGCCACCGCAGCCTCGACCTGCTGAGCTTCGGCGATCCTTCCGCCTCAGCCTTCCAAGTAGCTAGAACTACAGGCGCGCGCTACCACACCCGGCTAATTTTTTTTAATTTTATGTAGAGATGAGGTCTCGCCAAGGTGCCCAGGCGGGTCACGAACCCACGGCCTCAGGCAGTCCACTCACCTCAGCCTCCCAAAGTGCTGGGATTACAGGCTGAGCCACCGAGCCCGGCTTCTTAGTTTTTTTTTAGAGGTGCTCTCACTTGGTGGTCCAGGCTGGAATGCAGTGGTGCCATCACAGCTCACTCCAGCCTCGACCTCCTGGGTACAAACAATCCGCCTTCCTCAGCCTCCCGAGTAGCTGGGACCACGGGGATGGGACATTGTGTCTGGCTGAGGGGGTGGGTGTCTCTCAGTTGACACGCATTCCTTTGGAGAGCCTGCCCAGTCTCCCAGCTTAAGATCTGTCAGCACCTGGTGCTTGGTCACTTTTGTCCCCAGCCCAGCCTGGAGGCCCCCTGAACCCTCAGGCTGGGAGAGCCCCCACCTGCTCCCGCAGTCTCCGTGTGCCACAGCCAGCACCCAGCCTGCTCCACACCCTCCACTAGCCCCTTCCCCGACTTAGGATATGGCAGCTCTGCCCTCAGAGCTTGGGCCCCAGCCTGGGGTGTCTCTGACGCCTCTCGTCCCCCCCACCCCATCTGCCAGCACCCCTTGGCTTGCGTCCGGGAAACACCCAGAGTCTGCACGCTCCACGCACGTCCACAAGTCAGTCCAACAGGCCCTGGGTGCCCCTCTCGCCCCTAATGCAGGGCCTTTGCACCTGTTGGCCCATGCCCACGGGACTCACCACCTCTCCTTCTCAGTGGTGGACCCCACCCCTCATGGGAACCGTGAGCTGCTGCATCTCCTGTGCTCGCAGGGGTGTCTGGTACACCAGAGTCGCGCGCTAAGTGTTTGTTGAATAAGTGAATGGGGGAGTGAGGAAATAGCCATCGGTCAGGGACAGTGGATCCTCTGGTTTTGGGCGGGGGCGCAGGGGAATCCCTGGCCACGCCCTCCTCTCTCCCTCCCTTCAGGCCCCGACTCCAACCTGTCTGACCTCTGTCCCTGGCTTTCCTTACCCTTGGCTATCTTGATGTCCAGAGCCGTGCGGATCAGAGCCATTAGGGTCGAGTTGAAGTGCACGGTGTTGTCGTCCGCGACAGGCAGGTCCATCCGTAGGAGCCTCTGCAGAGAGCCCAAGGCCAGGGCAGTCATTCCTGGCACCCCTCCCGGATCCCCGCGACCACCTTACCCCACCCGGGGGGCTCCGGGAAGAACTCTGGAGGCGGCAGCAGCTGGGGTGTCCCCCACCCTCAGGTGACCTGTCCCGGGACTCCATGTCACCTGGCGGCCTGTAGGGAGACGGCCAGAGACTCTCCCGTGCCTCCAAGCCCCTGGCTTTTTGCTCCCTGTGCCGGCCAGAGAGCTGGCCTTCCTGGGGCTGGCCCAAGTTCCTGCCCTGTCCCAGAGTTCTTCCGGATGGCCTGTTCCCTTCTGACCCCAAAGAAAAAGAGCACAAGCCAGACCCCAGTAGCACGTGCAGCAGCCAGGCAGGGGGTCCGGGGCCACCACCGCCAGTGGGGGCCACCGGTCCCCACCCCACCCCCGGCTCAGCCCTGACCCGGACAGACCAGACAGGCACAGACCACGTCATTCCTCTGAGAAGCAGCAGGCAGGTGGCCCCCGTGGACGGGCAGGCCCCTCGGGCACATGCAGCAGGGCGGGGACACACAGGACAGACAGGGCACATGCAGACGGAGATCGAGACTCATTCATAGCTCTGTGGGACGTGTGTTGGGGCATGTCCAGATCGTGGCTCTGTGCCATGGCAAGGGGAGGGGACATTCCTGTGGCCCAGGGAAGGAACGATTCCCCATGTCCCAGGCAGGGGCTCTGTCCACCATGCTTGGTGGCATGGGAAAGGGTGCTGGGCCAGCCCAGGCTGGGGTGGCACACAGACGGGGTCGAGGGCAACTGTGACAGAGATTCAGACATAGTTGGTAGGAGACAGAGAGTTGGAGAGGGCGGGGCGGGGGGAGGTGGTAACATGGCAGGACATGATAGGGGGTTGAGGCAGCTGGGGAGGAGGTGGGAGACAGACACAAACACACACGGACTGGGACCCTGTGCACAACCGTGTAGGTTGCACACTGCACAAAAGGAGGGGCTCCCAGTCCTGGACATCGTAGTTTTGCATATTTAATATGACAGCTTCCCGGCTGATGGCAGAAAAGTGTCTTGTTCTTACTCTATCAGTGAATGATGACAATTTTCCAACAGATGTATTCTGGCTGGATGTGGTGGCTCACACCTGTAATCCCAGCACTTTGGGAGGCCAAGGTGGGAGGACTGCTTGAGCCCAGGAGTTTGAGACCAGTCTGGGCAACATAGTGAGACCTCGTCTCTACACACACACGCGCACACACACACAAAATAGCCAGGTGTGGTGGTTTGCGCCTGTAGTCTCAGCTACTCAGGAGGCTGCGGTGAGCTGTGATCTTGCCATTGCACTCCAGCCTGGGCAACAGTGACTCTAAATAAATAAATAATTGCAAGTTTCTGTGGAAGGGATGCCGCTTTTGAATCTGCACAAAGGGGCCTGTGGCCCCACAGTGGCCCCTGCACAGGGATGGGGAGGGAACCTCTCCCTCTTAAACACACACACACTGCTGGGAGCGGTGGCTCACACCTGTCATCCCAGCACGTTGAGAGGTGGAGGTGAGAGGATTGCCTAAGCTCAGGGGTTCGAGACCAGCCCGGGCAACTTGGCGAGCCCTCATCTCTACAATAAATCAAGAAAAATTAGCTGGGCCTGGTGGCGCGTGCCTGTGGTTCCAGCTACTCAGAAGGCTGAGGCGGAAGGATCGCCAGAGCCCAGCAGGTTGAGGCTGCGGTGGCCAGGAGCGTGCCACTGCCCTCCAGCCTGGGTGACGGAGTGAGACTGACTCAAAAATAAAAAATGAGCACACACTTAGCTAACCGTAGGCCAGGAGAAGGGACAAAAGGGACGACACGAGGGGGGGGTTGCATGGAGACACTGGCAGGCAGACACAGGTGAGGAAGCATGGACGAGGGCGGGTGAGGCTGTGGGGAAGTGGCTACGCGGGTAGAAACAGCACTGACACAGGGAGGAGCCGGGCGGGGTGGGGGGTATTTAAAGGTCATCCCTGGACTTCTCGAGGATGAGCTGAGGGAACAGAGCATCTGCCCTTGGGCGCCAAGGGAGATTCCAGGACAGGGGTCTGGAGGGGTGGCCCGGCCTGGCCGCCTGGCGGCAG